TATGTTGCCAAGAAAACAACATGGACATACCCATGAAAGAACACGGGGTAGACTTTGATTGATGGAAAACTTTGCATCACAAAGGCAGGTATTATTTCTGTTGTGTGTAGGAATGCATTTTTGTTTTCAGTACTCAGAGTAGTCTTATATTATTTTGCTAATCCTGAAGTAGATTTTCTATTCATAGTAGATGCTGGCATAAAGAAATTTCAGAAACCCAGCCATCGTATATTTTTATTTATATTTCAAATTTGTCACCACCCATCTCATTGCAGAGTGACTCTTTTATCATGCCTCATGAGGAGAGAGAGATATTCTGTCCCACAGGTGACAACATATGGCAATGCAATAAGCATCAGAACAATTTCTTATAAAATATGGAATTTGCCCAAGCATATTCTGTCATTTGAAGATGCTGCTGTGACTGCCACAAATATTGATTTCTTTCACAAAACAATCCTTGGCTATTTGTAAAAGCCTAATATTCCAGATTTATGCATTCTCTTAATGTATGGCCATTCCTTTTTCATGAGTTTACAAACTTCTGGGTGCTCTTTACAGAAAATGATTGAGCTATGGCTGGATACAGAATGTACTTACTTGTGCTCACCAAAGCCAATTTTTATAGATACAATGGAAACCAATCTCCTCATTGGAAGGTTTCCTTTTCTCCCTCTTTCCCTTCTTGCAATGAAGAATTAATATTGGGAGGGGGGAAATGAAAGCTGAGTCTTTACTATCCAATGTGAGCGGTGGGAAAAATCCAGTCAGTCCAACTTCTTGGATCAGGATCAAATTTCCTTTCTATGGTATTTTATACGGAGATTAGTGTTCCTCCAAGAAAAGGCCTGGCTGTTCTGACCACCACCAGCTGTGTTCCCTGCATGCCTTAAGTCTAAAGAAGCTTGTCAAGGAGGCAGAAAAAGAGTGGGCAAGAGCTGACACTGAACCTTTTCAAGTCATTCTCATTCTGAGAAGATTTAAAGGACATTGAAGACATTATGTAATGGATTTGCAAAGCATGAGCCGAGTCACTGCACTCTGATCAGTGTGTGCAACAGGGATCAGTGATCTTGGCATCCATCATCTGTTTGTTTCTGGGGGCTACCACAGAGGGAAGAGTTGGACTATGAAGGCCAGAAATATTGTTAAAAGGGAAGTAGCTGCTTGGTTAACCCTGTAGAACTACATGGACAGAAAGGCTTCCTCCCCATCCCCAGAAAGTGCTCAGAGATGGCATGCTGCTTTCCTCCACTTAAGATAAATGGAGGATGTTTGAATAGCAATGAATAGTTCTTATTTAAGCTCCTGTAGTTCCTGTATTCTCAGAACTTTTGCTTGTTCCCAGGTCATGATGCACATAACAAAGAGGTGGGGCTTCACTCCTGCACTCATCACTACCATCTCCGTCTTGACTTTTTTTGTCACATGCCCCCCGCCCCAGCCCCAATGCCCCTGCTTGCTCCTTGGTGCAACAACTCAAAGGTATAGAATGAGAGGGAACCAGAGGAACAAATGATGTGTACTCTTTACATCTATGAACTTCATCTCTCTGGAATAATCAGAACTCTTCTGATATAGAACATATGCTCATGTCCAGCATGAATTAACAGGATTTAGCCAGGAATTTGGGGGTAGGGTCAGTCAAACAATTGAATCAGATAAATTGACTGTTTTGCCTAGACTAATCTGTTAAGAATCCTGCAAACAGTGATATTAAGATTTCTTCCTCCCCCACTCAGCAAAGACGTGTTCTGTTTTAACTCCAGGAGGAGGGTGAGTTTATTCTACTCTGGCTCTCTTTCCCTTCTCAAAAAAAATATTTTGGAATGATTTGCTTATTTATTTATTTTAAAAGCTAAAATGAAATAAGAAAAAAATGTAATTCCAATTGTTACCAGTGGATTAAGAAACCATACCAAAGATATTTCGTCAGATATTTAATGGGAAGAACTTGGATCAGTCAGATTAGCTTCCATCCAGATGTTTTGAGTGCCATTAAAACAAACTCTTGCCCTTGCATAAGCTATCCCAATTGCTGACCAGTATCTAATGACAGAAGCATGGAAGTTCTGAAGAATTAATTTGGTTGCAACAAATGTCAGGCTGATAATACCTGAAACTAGGAGTTACAGAGGAGGAATCTCCTTCCACAAAGAATATAATAACAGAAAAAGGATTTAGGACCACTCTTGGAAACTCCTTCACCATATTAATAAACATGTTACTGTTATCACAAGAGAAGACAGGGTATAGGGTATATATGTACCCTATATATTTAAAAGATCCAAATCCTCTCAAGCATTCTATAGCGAAAAGATTTCCTCTTTAAGCTTAACAGGAAGCTGTTTTCTTCCTTTAAGAAAGTGGTTTGTGGGTATAAGAAAAGAAAGAGACTGCAAGATTTATTCTACACAGTAGACAAAGGGAACATCTTGCTCAATCAAGTTGTCAGATTCTCTAAGTACCTAGAATAGTTTGAAGATTGCATAGCTGTCTTGTTAACATTATTTGGGCCTAGCTGAGTGAAGGATATAGAGAATCCTTCTCCAATCTGGTATCTATCAGGTAGGTGGGATTCCAACCTTCCAGTATTGCTGTGTAACACTGTAAGGACAATGACTGGTGGTTTTCCTTATTAAAATGAGATTGTCAACAACTGGGGGGAAAGCTGCCACCAATCGCCATATAGATTGTGAGATGCTTCATCCATCCAATCAATATTATTTCTATTTTTTTTCCCAAATGACAAAAACCTATCCACCTGATGGCCACTAGATGGGATCAAAGAGTTCAACTCTATTAGTGTAGTGCTTGTTGGGGTTGTGTGCAGCCCAGTTGTAGCTTCTGCATAAGGGTTCTCAGAGCCAGGGTTCAAGGAAGGTGTGTGTGTGTGCGAAGTGTACTCAGCTGTAGAATGCTCTGGGGTGCATCCATACAATTTCTTCAAGATGGTTATTCAGCTGTTGACCAGTTGACATATTGACCTATTGAAAACTATGTGGCAGCAAAGAGTTTGAGGTTTTTTCTATCTTGGCTGCCATCTACTGTTTGTCCAGATTTTTGCAGCTAAGATGCAGCTACTGGATAAATGCTGATTCATGTGTCACATGACAGAATGCATGCAGTTCTGATCGCACAGAAGGAGGATAGGAGAGGGAAAATGTGGCTGTATGTTGAACCCATATATATATACCAGAGAACCTTCTATAATGGAGAAATCTTTTTAAAAGAAGAGTCTGTAAGCTCTCTCCCCTTTTGGCTTCTTGTCAGTTGTTTCTACCTGTCCCATCCAGTCCAACAGGAGGGGCATGCTCTGGGTCCCATCAGCTAAGGAGTGTGGACTGGCAGGGCCCAGGCGGAAAGCCTTTTCTATTGGGGTACCCGCTGTCTGGGATCTCATCCCTCCAGAGATCAGATTGACTCAGTCCCTGTTGACCTTCCATAAGGCCTTGAAGACATGGCTCTGTGCTGGAGCCTAGGGCCCCAGGTGTGGGATGCAGCCCATGGCCTGGTTATGTTGAGTGTTTGATTGTGGCTTTGTAATTTTTTTCCCAGCTGTTATAGTTTTTATATTGTTTCTATTTGTTTCTATTATTTTTAATATTGTTAGCTGTCCAGAGTCATGTATGAGAGATCGGCAGCCATAAATACATACATACATACATACATACATACATACATACATAAATAAATAAATAAATAAATAAATAAATAAGCAGCAGCAGCCAGTGACAAGGGAATTCCTGACCAAATAGACTATGGAATCACAAGAGCCCAGTCCTTTCAATTATCTTTCAATGACATGCATTAAGGCAGACTGCATGAGTCTAGTCACTTTCAGGGCTTCAGTTTCCAGTTCAGGACTTCCTTGTTTTAGAATTTATCCTCTGTGTGTAGTTTTAGTTAGTGCTATTTTCCATTCTCTGTGTTGTAATGAATGTATTTTTACTTAATGCCTGGGTTTGCATATCACAAAATGCCATAATGTGTTTTGATGTAGTATGTAGTATGCCAGAAGTTGTGGCTTGTAAATCATGGTTTATGGCTTAGTGTGTTTAATGAACCCAGCAATTATGATTTATTCAATCAATAATGGTAAAGGAAATCATAGCTTAGTGTGATAGGCAAACCCAAAGTCTAGGAGAAACTGCCAAGTTTGGTACCACTTTATAAATATACTATTTCTCCACTACTTCCTTGTGTATATTTATAACCAATAAGTGTATTTTACTTGATGCTAGGGTTGTTTGGATAATCTGTACTTTGCAAATTCCAGTCTGCAGTCGTCAAATCTAGACTTTCCAAACTGAAGCTTGGACTTCTTAAAAACTCCAATTCAATTCTTGGCTTGACAAAGTAGAAAAATATGCTTCTAAATGTTTAGGTTGAGAGAAAAAGCTTAAAAACAAGTATTTTGAGAGAAAATAAATTAAGAAAATGTGTGTGTAACACAGCTTTATGTGGATTTCTTTTTTCTTTTTTCTTTAAACCCAGATTCATGTGGAATTGGAATGGAATGGACTTTTCTGAGTCAACATAAACATAACCAACCCAGCCTAGAAAGTGATTGATTTGCACTTTCCTTCTTTATCTCCTTTTTTAAAAAGCTTCCAAATCTCTCCATATGCAAAACTAAAGGCTGCTGGGGGTCTGGCAGATTTCCAGTTGGATGGAATTTGTTGATCCCAGTTTGGCGAGACTTTACACATGTGCAAATGATTGGGCAAGTGGAAGACTTTGTTTTCTTTGATGAACAGCATCTGCCTGGCATGGCATCTAAAGCTGCTTTTTACAAGGGGTATGTGCATTACATTGCATGTGATGTTGGTGGTTTGCAAGAATAAACCAATGTTGTATTGTAAATATTGGCTTCTACTTTGTTTATCTGGATTTGATCCATCAATAATAGCAATCTCTGGGGATGTATCCTGGCCATTGGACCTTAGGATCAAACTCCTAACTTCTCCTCAAAACAACTTAGTATTTCACAGCAGCAGCAGTGCTTATGCTCCAGATGTGGCATGAGAGAACAGCAGAGACTCTGATTTTTCCCCATTCCCTGGTGAGTGTGCTGATTCTGAGTGCCAAGAAGAAAAAAAAGAAGACACTGCATTTTTCTCAAGGGCCAATGGAAGAACTTCCGACGAAAAATGGAAGCCCTTATTTTTTTGGAGACAGTCACTATTTTTAAATCCAGCATGCTCCAGAATGTCTGAAGAACCTCAGAGAGAAATGAGAGTTTTGTGGAAACAACTGGTGAGTTCAGATGTAAAAGAATTACATCTTTATTTTTTAAAGATTTCTCCCTATCCAAAATTACTGAAGTGCCTCCAAATATGAATTGAAGGGTGAGTTGCATGGCACTTTTAGTTCAGTTCTAAAACTGGATTTTATTTTATATTATTTTGTAAGGTTTACTGAGTTCTAAGATGTATATTTTCTAATGAAATTGGGATGCTGTATTGAAGGCATCAGATTCATCCTAAATAAATATTCCCAATACTGTATGTGCACAAGAAGCAAGAATAGAGGAAAATCAGAATGAAACCCGTGTGGATCTTCTTGATCCTCAGCCTTTCTTCTGGAAAGCTGAATTTGTGATTCAACTGGTAAGTGGCTGAAAACTTCAGTGAACTGGAGAGCTTTGTACATCTGCAGGATTCTTAACAAAGAATCTTATGTAGAAGCTTTGAAGACAGAGTCCAAAAACATTTACAGTACATGAAGTGGAAAATAGCACACTCATACACAATACCCTCTAGAAAAAGTCAGTCCTAGACAGGAATGCTGGATTTTATTTTGTTTGCCTTGTTTGTCATTAAAAGCAATATTTTGAAGACGGTGAGATACCTTCTTGAGTTCTTCCAAGAAATATCTAATTCACCTCTTAACCTGATAAAATAGAATTTGGAAGTATGATCCTCTTTTTATTGTAGCCATTGTTTAAAAGAGTTTTACTAATGTAAGGTAGAACAAAAATAATATCTGTGGGAAGTGATGATGCTGACAATGGTTTTGGAAGAAAATAATATATTAGGATGATAAGTTCAGAATTCCAAGGCCTTTCTTTAAAAAAATATTATTCCCTTCCTTCCTTCCTTCCTTCCTTCCTTCCTTCCTTCCTTCCTTCCTTCCTTCCTTCCTTCCTTCTCTTTCCCGCACCCTGTTCCCCTTCAACAGCATTTTTAAAATATCTACCATGAACAGCTAAAGGTTCTTACTATCAAAGTTGCTTGGTGATACAAATTCCATAATTACAGTTGATCCCTCTTCCGTGCCTAGAAAAAAAAAAAAAAAACCTGTTTGTATAGCAAGGAAGATACAGTACTTTTCTGCATAACTTTCACCTGTTTCTGGATAGTTCCAAAGTTCTCAAGGAAGTCCATAAGTGGATTGTCTAGCCAAGCAATGACAGCAGAAGACTTGCAGATATTTTTTAGATCTAACAGAACTAAGCTTGATTCAGACCATATGTTTCAGGCACTAAAGGAGGCTGCTGAAAAATGGTTTTGCTATGGAAATCTATGTCCTGTAACTTACATCTAACCCTTGGCCTTAATGAATTATGATGGCTGAATAGCCTTTCCCAATCTCACTCATAACTGAACGCATCCACACCTGAAAGGTATGGGACCAGGAAACACTGATGTAGAGTTTGCCTGTCATTTTGTGAAGTGTGTTTGTTTGTTTGTTTGTTTGTTTGTTTTCTTGGAACTATAGAGACTCAGAATGTGTGGCAAAGCTTCATGAAGTATACTTTACTTTGTCATGGCTATTAATTAAGGAGGGACTAAATATTCCTATAATGGCTGCAAGGTATGCTTTGATTTGAGGAAATTGGAAAAAAAAATAGAGATATTTAAGATGCCAGTGACCAGTAATATCAAACATCCATGGTGATTAAATTAGGGTAAGTAACTTTTTGTTGGCTAAATTCATACTACTATATTTACTCAAAAAGAATATGACTTTGAATTTAATACAATCCTTCCACAAAAAAAGAGCAGATAGAAACAAAATTATAAACAAAGACCTGTTCAGTGCCCAGATTCTCCACTAGGCTTGCCAGGGCCAGTGATAACTAATCCTGCTGATTCTCTGCTAAAATGTGTGCATGTGATACACTTATACAAGTATATGGGTGTGTGTATGGGTATCTATATTACAGAAGCCAAAAGCAGGGAGGATCAGAAGACAAAATAAATGTATATTAATGGGATTTAAAGCTACTGACTAAAATGTATTACTTATAATAAAACATCCCAATTACAGTATAAAATTAACTGATTCCCTACCTCCATCACTTTTTCTTACAAACCACTTTCATGCAGAATGATACACTTTACACACAAATGCCTTCTCCCCCTTCATTCCCTCAGAAACAGAAAAGTTAAAACAAAAACAAAAAAGGAGATGGGAGAAAAGACATGGGTAACTGCGGGGGGAAGAGAAAGAGAGGAATAACACTGGATGCAGAAGAGAGCAGGAAGAAGGAACCAGACAGAGAAAGGTAAGAAAGAAAGAGAAGTCCTGTCATCAGGCAAACAGCCCTTTACGTGCAGTGGCTGATATTCCACTTTCTACTTTTTGTCCTTCCAATGTTTTAATGCAGGGTTCCTCAATCTTGGCAACTTTAAGACAGATGG